CCTAACATTCCTTGTTTCTTTTTTAGCTTCTATTGTGGTGACAAATGTATCACAACACGCAGCAGGAGGAGTCCCTATATAGGATCAAGGGGAAGGACTTCGTCCTATTGCATTCCACAGTAAAAAGCTAAGTGCATCCAAGAAGAAGTACTCATCATATGAACACGAATTGGCTATCATTGCATCCTATTTCATTGTATGGTGATATTATATTGAGGGATGCCCAGGCGGAGTGACAGTGCTAATGAACCACCAAACATTGAGATCACTCATAGATTAGCAAATGTTAGCCCACGCACAAACGCAATGGGTGAATTGGGCTTTTTTCAATCCATTTTACCCAAGATTTAGTACAACCCTGGGAAAACCAATATATTAATAACGCATTATCCAAGAATAGACGCGGTCTAATTGAGGATGCAGAGGAGCCCCAATCAGTAGAGCCATTGGTGGTATTGGCGGCTTCAGCAGTAGTGCCTAAAGAAGAGTTGCGGATATGAAAACAGGCATTGGAAGAGCACCCAAATTTGCGAGATACCATTTAGCGGTTGAGGAGTCAGCAAAGCTATGGAGATATCTAGTTGACTTCCCAAAGTTTGTTAGTCATCCAACAGAACGACCAACAGAAATTGGTGGTGCCCACATTGTTGAGACAACAGATTCTAAGGAAGCATTATGATGTCCCATTTGTTGCTCATGTGGGATATGACAGACATTGAGTTTATTAGAATAAGCATATTTATAAAGGGGGTCAGCCCATTGGTGACCGACCGGGGCCCAGCTGGTCTGTCCCATTCGATTCGGGACTCGGTTGCGCATAAAAGTGAGATAGGAAGGTGGGGAGATGGGAAGTGGTTTGGAATAGTAACTTCGTAATACAATGGTAATAATGAGAGATGGGTAGTTATGTTTATAACTGCCCAAAAAGTGGCAATATGGCAGCCCAACGGGCGCCACCAAAAATGTATTCGAGTTTGAATGTCTGTTTCAGTCCCGTTCACCCGTTCGACTCTTATGCCAAGGGTGAATCGCCCGGAGTCACCACACCCCATTGCCTAGTACCACGTCTGATTGAACTGGTCCACAAGTTGCACCACTTCCCATCTCGAGCCCCATGGCACACCCAAAAATTCCCCATTTACCTTATATTGTACGTTATTCTACTATATAAGGCGGGAGCTCCCTTCTCCCATTCATCCTAGTTTATGAGGCCAGCTTGCTCGCCAGTGGGTCCCACTTTTCACTTGTATTAATGCACAATATATATTGCACTTCTCCCTACATGTTAGAGCATCTTTATCGGTCGGCGCTATTGTTCCGGTGGAGCTATTCAGGAACGGTTCTCATTGGCTACCGTGCCACCTTACTAAGGTGGCATTTGCCAAATAGCGCCGGTGTTATTGGGGAGCAATAGCACCGGGCGTGCATCCATAATAGTGGTTGCCTTGGGGAGCAATAGCACCCCGTGGGCATCCGTAACGGGGGGCGCTATTTGCAAGGAAACTCCCACACGCCCTCATCCACACAAACCCACACAGCCTTGTATCCACGCAAACACAAACACCCTTGCTACTCGCCGACCCACGATGGTCGCCAAGCGTTGACCAAGTGTTGACCTAAGCCGTGAGCCACCTACACTCGGCGAACAAAGAGAATGGGGCGTGGCGACAAGTGGATCCCGGCCGACGATCAGAGCCTGGCGAAGGCCTGGTTGTTTGCATCCGTGGATCGTGCAGTTCCGCGTCAAAATCGTTCTTATCCATGGTTCGGCTGTCCCAAGGCCCCTCCATTGTCCTAAGGCCTCTCCGCGTTGTTCCAAGTAGCCGCCACCAAGTGTTGCGCGAATAGCACCGGTGCTATTCTGGGGAGCTATTCGGTCTTGAGTAGAGCTATTTTGGCCCCGAATAGCTCCACTGGGCGCCAAATAGCTCTGGGGGAGCTATTAGGGAGTTATTGCTCCCCAACCGTTAATGATGGTTTTTTGACGTGCGGAGCTATTCGGATAGCCGAATAGCTCCGCCAAAACAATAGCGCCGACCGATAAAGATGCTCTTAAGGACTATGCAAACCCTCACAATATCACTAAAAGTGCATCCAAGGAGATGCTACCAATTATGTTCACATATGCCCTATCTATCAGTTGGTAAGAGTGGATAATAAGAAGAGGGTAGGCCCACTTCACCCGATCATATGGCTAAAGCAGAAATGGAGTCAAGTGACCATGGATTTGGTTACTGACCTCCTAGAGGCAGAAGGTACATGGCAGCCGCGGTCTTTGTGGACCGACTAAATAAACAAGTGTATTTTGCTCCATGTACTAAGGAGGCTAAGGCTCCAGGTTACACTAGGATATTCATCGATATAGTGTTCCATCACCACGGGTTGCTAAAGATGATAATCTCCGACCGAGATCCTCGACTTACCAACAAATTTTGGACAATATTATTTAAGTTGCTTGGGATGAATCTTTGGTTCAGTACTACCTTTCATCCTCAGATGGATGGGTAGTTGGAGGTGATGATCAGAATATTGAAAAACACTACCGACCCCGCGTACAACGGAACCCATTGACCTGGGTGAAGCAATTAATGTTTGCAGAATTTGTGGCCACTAATACCATAAATACATCTATAAAGTTCACTCCATTCTTTCTGGAGATAGGTCAGAATCCAGCAATCTCCATGTCCCTACTGAAGTCTCAAGTTCAAATGAAGAACCAAGTTGTCAATGATATTGTCGACCATATGAAAGTGGTATTGGTCTCTATGCAAGAGAATATCTACAATGCTCAAGAGTGTATAAAGAGAATTATAGACATGGCGCGTAGAGAAAAGGTATTTGTTGAGGATGATGGAGTTGTGTTGTTGATTGAGCATTTGAAAACTTTTGATACTTATTTGCTAGTCAAACTTTGTCATTGGTAGGCTGGACCTTTTGTTGTTATAAAATCATGTCTCTAGTGGTGTATAGGCTGGATCTTCCTCAGGGATGGATGATTCACCCCAATTTCTATGTGTATGACATAAAAAGTACTTATGGTCTGAAGCATTTGTACGGGGGGTGCAGCCACCACCTCTTGAATTGGTGGAAGGAGCCCCGGAGTACGAAATCGAGGATATTTTGAGGCACAAGGGTAATGGCGCTCACAGGCACTACCTTGTTTTGTGGAAGGGGTATCTTACGGAAGAGACCATCTGGGAACCAACAGCCCACCTCAATCATGCCCCGGAGGTTATGGAAGATTACTTGCGCTGAGTCCAATAGCAAGAACCTAGGACTCGGACCAAAGGGAAGTGTTTATTATAGAAGTGCATTCTACTAAGAATATTTTAGAGACTACCAGTGCTATTCGAATAGGTGAAGGTGATGGAGATCTACACGGAATGGAGGGTAACCGTGTTCAACATGCCAAATTCATTCGGTGTGGGTTACGGTTTGTCTTCACATCAAGTAGGCTTGTGATTGTCTTTGGCTAGTATCGGTGGACCTACTGTGATGGATACGGGTATTTTTTGGGGTCATCTTTCATTCGTTCTCCTACCCATAATTGAGGATAACTACTCTCTTTTGGGGGGGAGTGGTGATGCATTTGCATCTTGGGCAATTCTTTATCATTTTGTATTTTTGGCCTTTTTGTTTTTTTTCCTCGGATGGGTGAGCCGGGTTTTTTATATCACCCCTTGGGGCATGTCCCAACGGGGTAGTTTGCATTCAACTTCTGGTGTAGTTAACATTCTTGTGCAAGATTGTGTCTCGCTCCCTGACTGCACCTCCATGCACATCATATGCAGAGGAGCCTAAATATTCTGCCACGACAGTTGAGTGAGCAATGGACATCTACAACCATAGGCCTCTCTCCTGACCAGAGGAAAGCAAAGATAATCCCAACTCATTTGTGTTTGGATCGCTAGAGCAGTTGTTGAATGGTTTGTAGTTTATATGGGGTCGGTTGCGAGAGTATACATATTAACAGCAGTGAGCACAGGCGAACTACAGGACGAGAGGATAGCGCATCAGATGGATATTCATCGTAGGAGACCGAGTGTGGTTATGGAACACGAAAATTGGGACCTTGAAGGACGAGCTTGGGCTATTGTGGAAAGTTCCAAGACAACTGATTTGGCTCATTACAATTTCAGTGTGGGAAGTTAGGGGACCAAAAGGGAAGCTCTAGATTGGACATACGGATATGATTCGGCCATGCCATAATGTGGTTTAAAAGAATAATATTTTGAGGTATGTTCTATTTAGCGCAAGGAAATGTGTGAAGACGAGAAAGATACATAAGTAATTGCGTGGAGAGTGAGGTTCTTATAGTGATTTAAGTACGGTGTTAAGTATGGTGAAATGGAGAATGGTGGGGAGGGACATAAATTAGACAAGCTTGCAGTGGACACTAAATGACTGAAACGATTATTCTGGAACACATCTGGTTGCGGCTTGCTTCCCGTGCCTGGGGGCGAGTGTGTGTGAGTGCGAGCGAAAAGTGCGTGCAACGTCATAATGATCATGATCATAGACCAGTCACGGCCACTTCACCGTCGACCACCACAACGGGCCCTGCCAGCGGGGCCCGCTGTGCGTTTACTAACTTAGCTACTCAGGTTCTTTCCGCCTTTCACCGGAAACTGCCTGCGGCTGGGGTTACCATCACAACTGCCGGGGCACGCATGCCACGGCCGACGCGGCGCGGACGCCCCCCAAAGGGCGCGACCTCCCAGCCATATCAGCTCCCGTCCCCTCACGCCTGGGGCAATGTTCAAACTGTCAATGCTTCAGAACTGTCGCCGGCCACTGTGTGCCCCTTGAGCACCTCCACACGCGGACTGCGCCTAGGTTGGGTGTCGCTCCTTTCCCGAAGCCGATGGCGGCGGCACCCGTCGGCTGGTTCGAAAGCGGCAAACGGGGCACACGCCCGGTGTACGCGTGGCCCGATCCACGCAGCCATGCCCCTGGCGGCGGCATCGACCCCGGGAGGAAACAGGCCAGCTTCCTCGCAGCTAGTCGCGTGGCGGGCGCCGAGTCTGGTCCGGCTTCCAGTCGTCCGCGCCGGTCGCCCTGTCGCCATCGCGGGAGCCAATCGGTCAGAGGCTGCATGGCAATGAATTGCAATGGGGGGAATCCCCCCCGCTAGCGAAGGAGCGCCGCCTTGGACATTGGAGGGAGAGCAGCGGCATGGAACAGCCTCGCACACAGTATACTGTCTGTCTGTATGTGTCGCTGCTCTTGCATTGATGCGGGTGCTCACCAGAGCAGCATCCGGAAGGGCGCCTTGATGAGCCACTCCACCACGTCCCAGGCCAGCTGCACGGCGCAGGCGCAGGGGCAGCAGATGCACCTGAAGGGCAGCAGCAGGATCCACACCAGGCAGCCGAACAGCGAGATCAGGAGCAGGGCCGGGGAGGCAATGAGGAAGACCAGGCAGCGCATGGTCTGGACGCACATCTTGGCGAAGGTGCGACCTCGAGGGCCTTCGCCGTGCGGGGTTGCCCTTGCTGTAGGTCGTTGGCCCAAAGCGCGCGGTTTGGGGCTGATACTGTGTACGTGATTTTGTAGTGTGAGGCACGGCTGCCAGGCAGGCACCATGTCACCATGTTGTACATGGTGCAAGGCACTGTGCAGCAAACGCGCACCTGGTGGGAGAACACGGGGTCAACGCCCCTTACACATGCCTGCCCTTACATAGCCGCGTACGTGGTGTCACCCATCACTCACATAATGGCCCTCATCTGGCCCACCCACGTATCCTTTTGTTGTCCACACACATCATCGTCACAGGCTTCCACTGCCGCCGGAAATAATATTACTGCCTGCACCAAATCGGTGACTGCTTGCACCAAGTCACGTGCACACTTTGTCCTAACCTCAATTTTAGGGTTAGGTTTAGTTTCAGGGTGAGTTTCAGGGTTAGGGTTAGGGTTAGGACAGGTTTAGTTTTAGGGTTTAGGTTTTAGGTTTTAGGTTAGGTTAGTTTGGACGGAGTTGGACATGGTGTGCACGTGACTTGGTGCAAGCAGTCACCGATTTGGTGCAGCCAGTAATTTTATGCCCTGCCGCCGGGCCATCCCGGCAGGGTAAACCCATAACACGATCGACGCACACCGGATCTATATTAATCGCCATTTATCACATCACATTTACACCATTATTCTCTACACCACAGTCACAGACCCTAAAGCACATAACCACACTCACATTCACCTCCACATCAAAGCTCGCACAACTCTCATTGTTTTGTTATTCACAAAATGAAAGAGACCCTTAAGTTACATATGGCTGCAATGAGTCCGTATGTACTAACTTGATGCGATTGGCCAGGAACCGAGCTCGCCAAACTGTGCGCGACTTCTTCTCCACTAATGTCACCGGACCAACCCAGAATGGGGCTAGTTTCTGGTCTGAAATCCTTGAAGGTCGCCCACCAAACATCACCATCAATCTTGATTTCAGGAGGGGCCAACGCCTTTGCTTGTGCAAGGATCTCCTCTGCTACTTTTGCCTGCTCCCTTGCACTCTTAAGCATATCTTGTTGGTGTTTCATCTCAGCCTACAATTGTGTTCATTCTTCCTCCTTTGTTTCCTCCAAAAGAGCAGAATGGGCTACATTCAAGGCCTGCAATGTTGTTTTGGTGGTTGTATTCGCTGCCTCCACTTTACTCCTTTCCCAATCGAATCCTGTGGTAGCCTTCCGGTTGGCTTCCTGCTTTTGCTGCAATGCTTCGGCTTCATAGGCCGTATGCACATCACACACTTGTTGTGCGGCTAGCGAATCGGGCCGACACATATGCAATAACCAACGAATCCGCGCTTGACACCCTCCCTCACCAATAGCCGCCACCTTACAAAGTGGCTCAATATTATATGTGGTCCAATGCGCGACCATGTAATGCTTCTTACCTCCAAACGATCCCGCCTCAGAAAACATCGGATCGTCACCTATCGGCATTGAGGGCCCACTTGAAGCACCACTAGCGAACCTGAACAACCCCTCGTCACCACCACGCGACCAACCCCCTTGGCCTTCCATCAAGCCTCCCTTTGGCCCTGGATTCCTTTCCACACAACCCATAACCAACAAGAGCCACTAGAGCCAGACCCTGTGACGACGGCTCACATACTCTCGACTTTGTCGCTGGATCCAAGGTCGCACCCAAAGCCACCACCCAGCATGAACCATGAACCCCAAACCAACCGCATCACCTCCCACGGCATCACAACCCAGCGATAGTGGGCCTATCAAGGCCGTCGCGGGCCGCAGTAGCATCCCATGGTGGAAGGTCAGCTCCACCACCAACGCCCAAGAGAGCAACCCGCCGAGCATCAATACCACCAATGCTGCCATGATGGCCTCATGTCCCCGAGGGCGAGGTCCCATCCAGGCCCCACCCATCTTCGTGTGCGTTGATCGCCTGGGCTCCGAAACCATATGCAGCAAATGCGCACCTGGTGGGAGAAAACGGGGTCAATGCCCCTTACACATGACTGCCCTTACGTAGCTGCATATGCAATGTCACCCATCACTCACATAATGGCCCTCATCTGGCCCACCCACATATCCTTTCATTGTCCACACACATCATCATCACAGCACCGACAGGCTGCCTTCCCTAACGCCTGAGGAAGACATTATTTGATCTTGGTGTGCTCGGGTGGCGGTAGCACTGAGTCCGCTCCCACCCCCTTTTCCCTAATGTCAATCCTCATTTGAACTCACAGTGCTTAATTCCTGTGCACCGTATTGGACATCAGTGCTCCATCCTACTGGGGTTGGCACAGTGCACTTCTGCCCTCTACAACTAACTCAAAAGCTGGCCCGGGGCCTGCACTGGAACATTGCAACATAGCTCCATCAAGCGCATCCCTACCTATCTATTTCAGGCTTTACTTTATGGCAAGGGGGCCTATTCAATTGTGCCCGACCACTGCTCAGCACCCCCCAACCATGCTATCCACACAATGCAGCTCCTAGCCCGCCTTCCACAGTTTTCCGAAAAGAGTGGCAACCATTGCTGCCGCGGGTCTTGCATGATCGCCGATGTGCTGTCATGCGCACACGTTTCGCCGCAAGGGCCTGCCAACTCGGTTCCTGGCCACAAATGTTTCTTTGTAGCGCACCTTCCTAATTGCTCTATGAGCCGATTATCAACCCGAGAGCCGTTGGGTTGGCAAGGGCGAGTCACCGACCTCCAATGGCTGCTGGTACTCATTGCTCAACATTTGTCCTGGTCACCCCGGTCCCAGCCCTTTAGCATGGCGTCCATGGGACAACCTAGGACTGCGCGGCTTGTTCATCTCCCCTTAGCCCCGCCAACGTCTGTCAAATCAGCTGAGACAGAATTCCTCTACAGAAACAGGCCATGCCGATTTTGGTGTCCTTAGCATCAAATCCATGCTTTGGGGGAGGAGGTGGGTGGGTGGGTGGGTGGAGGGTGGGAGCCCACCACATGATGCTGAGATATTGTGTAGCTACAACAAAATCGACACAAGCAGAAAAAGTCATGTCACATGACGTCTGTTGGAATGACGAGTGCGAAAATCGACATGCGCACGGCTCTAAAAACTCCCACGATTTTATTCCTGGATTATGGTTTGCTGCGGAGGCATGCCGTGGGAGGTTTGTTGTTGGACGGGCACTGTGCTCCCCCCTCCAACATTGAAAAATTCTCGGAATGAGGTTCGACCCCACGCTAGAGGTGGCCACCCGGAACCGTTATTAGCGTACAGAGGTTAATTTCCGTTAATTTTCTGTTAATTAACGGAAAATAACGAAAAAAGATAAAAATTAATTAAAAATTAACGGATTTTTGGATTTTTTGGGGATTTTTGGGTTTTAGTCATACTTATAGTTTATGGAATTCGCTATTAGAGAGTATGTTTGTATTTTATTTCAACCTATGCATACTAGATTTTCAACTAGCCGCAGTTGTTGTGATTTTTGGGGGGGTTTTCGATTTTTTGGATTTTTTTCGTTTTTTCTGAATTTTTCTCCCTTTTTCTTTAACCAAATTTAACAGACAGCTGATAAAAATTAACGAACCGGACTTAACGGACCGGATGGCATCTTTGAGTGGCCACCTCTACCCCGCGCATTGCACACACTGCCGGATCTCCTTGATGTAACCCAGTCACTGGTGTCAAAGGCCCGTCAACGGAGAGCCGCTGCAAGGCTCATCCAGGGGCCATGGATAGAAACAACGGATAAGTTGAAAACACCTACACATCACCAGCAAAAATATGACGGTCATTTTCTGGGTCCAGAACACTCGCAAATTATTGCCTGTTTTGCACAACTTCTAACTGTCCAATTGTGTGAAAATGGGACGAAATCGTGCTAATACCCTAAACGTGCTTTTGGGTGCCATTAATAGGTACCAGTGAGAGGCAGGCCTGTAATATACTCAGTGAAAGCTGATCATGTTGCCTTTGCACGCGTGCAAATATTTTTACGTTTTTATACATAAACATGTGTAAAAACCAAAAATACAGCCATAATTACATCCCTATATACATAAAACTAGTACACAGTCAAACTGACGCTAGGGCGGGTGGGGTTGGGGATGGGGGTGGGACTGGTGACTAAAAGATCATGTAATTGCCACGAAATCGACATAAAGATGGAAGCTGCCCAAAAACGTCACTGACATGTGGCAAACAACCCACGACTTGTTCCTGATCTGCAAAGAACGCCTTAGATTGGACTAATTTGTAGCTATTGAGGCTGCCCGTCTCATCTACAGTGGCATTTATATCTCGTTTTCTAATCCACCGAAATCAGCAAAACTTCCACTGCCTTTTATCTTCAAAACAGCGTAGAAATTGCGTACCACAGTCTGGTAATGCTGCTGAGTCATCCTTGCATCGACATAAGGACTGACGCTATGGGTGGTGGTGGTTCCGAGATTGACGTCAAATTGACGCTAAGCATAACAAAACATACAAAGCGGCTTCCCTTGCGGAGTCTGGGGAGTGGCAGCCAGTTTCGTTGGAGTGGGCAGAAAACGAACTTTTGTTCGGAGACGTCGTTGCCCTTGCCGAGGGCGAGGTGTGCGCTATGTGGCCTATGTTCAAGGGGCGGAGGATTGATCATTGCACGCGACTTTCGCCATGTAACCTGGGTGTCCCAACCAGTGGCAAAAAGGTAAGTGTAGCCGCAAAAACAGCCTCTTTTTGCAAATTTGCCTTTTTGTGCATGACAGCGCAAACGCAAAGACGCGCTCAAACACCAAGCGCAAATAACAAGCCAAACGCGTAAACATAAACAACAGGCCTGGTGCAAGGGCATGGCTGCGGCAACAATCTTTGGGCCAGTTCCACGCATAGTGAACCGCAGGTACGCAGCTTTCAGCAATTCAGTGAAACTTAAACATTGGTGAAATTTCCACCACAAAATTCTCATGAAGAACTCGGTCCCGTTTGAGAGCCATTTGCAATAACGGTATTGTCCCACTATTGACGTGCGATTTTCAGTATCATAACGTTGCCTGTACCGGGGCATAAGCTGACCGCCCTTTCTCGTGCAAGATTTAGCACCTCTTACTGCAAAGTTCGTCACAGTACTTGGCAGAAGTACTCAATAGTGTTTTGTTGAACCGATATCTTTCCATATTGTGTTTCTCTTTGTAAAGGGCAATTAATGTTTGGCAGTGCTCAGTGAATGGTTGGATCCCGGGATTACGACAGCAACACCCATTGGATTGATAATATCAATAAACAGAACTATGTGTTGTTGCTTCTGCGGCAGTGCAATGACCACGAGAGCGTAGAACAACTTTTGTGCCTCTGATGTGGCTCTTTGCTGTGTTAAACTCGCTATTAGTCATGATACCATGTCACCCAATGACTGGCACATGATTTGTACATGGCGACTGACTGGACGCCAGAGCAACATAGAGCAATCAGACTTGATATAGACAGCCGCAAAGCGTTGCCATAAAAGTGGTAAAGCACGCTGGTAGGCATGCCTCGATTCGAGATAGCAGCAAGGGAGGACATCATAAGAAAAATAGAAAGAAAGGCATGTTTCTAAGGGTTATGGTGGACACCTGCGATAGTGAAACGCTGGCCAAATCAATGGACAAGTAGGCCATGTGAGCATAAATATGATTGGTATCACTCGCACAGTGAAATTGGGCAATCGCGGTACCGTCAGATATGTGAAAACCCGAAAATTTGGGAAAACGCTGCCAAGTTTCGTCAAAATGTAGCATTTTTTGCTGCAGAAACGGTGGAATTTCATGTCGTATTTTATGCTGAAACTAGCCAGGGATGTGAACATGACGCAGCCAAAATCCAAGATATGCAGCTAATCGACAAAGTTTTAATACTGATTTTGATTTGGACCAGAATTGAGGAATTGATGGTCCAGAACAGTATGGTGTCGCAGGCTGCTAGGTCGTTGAGTTAGATCTCATTTTTGAGACGCTGTTGGCTGGCAATTGATGGTAAGGAGTTCTGATGTCTTTGGTAGTATGAACAAAGGACGTGCCGTTGTTGGATGGGACAAAATGTGTGAAGGGGTCGGCAGGCCGTCCAACAGCACCACTCGAATTTTCCTGAGCGGTGCTGTCCAAAATGTGGATTGTATTAAGAAAGCTATTGAGCGGTATTGCGTTCAGAGCGTGGCACTTTTTATGCCAGCCAATTGGGCTGATGTGGAATACTTTGGCGCGTTTTAGAGTCAAAAAAGGTCGCAGTTCAACAGGCCTTCGGACCCAAAATGTGCATGGTCCTCTCGGACCTGGAAATGGGAAAATTCACAATGAGGTTGAAAAAACTATTGGGGAACATGTACAGTTTCATAGAACAGGGCATACCCGTCACGAGAAGTGGAATAGAACAAGGAGGGCAGCCAATAAAATGCAAGTCAGGCATACATTTGCATGTGAAATGAAATGTACAATCAGCAGTACTGTGTTGCCGTACGTCAGACATTTTCCAGTTCGAGAGTGTGACCTAGAAATTCACCGGATGGAGCTGGCTTGACCCGCCAGTGCCTTGCCAACAATGGCGTCTCGCTTACGGTGGTACAACGCCCACATGGGGGCACCACTACGTGTATGCAATAGGGGAAGGCACAACACGGTGGACACCAGACTGTGGAGCGATCGAGCAATGGAGCTCCGCCAGCTGGTCAGAGTGGGGCTACTCGGCACAGTGCACGATCCCGAATGGCAAGAGGAGGCTGCGAAGCGGGAGCGAGCAGGCGAGTACACACAAAAGGCGCAGGAGGGCGAGGACATGCAGAAGTCGCGGGAGGCGGAGTACATGCAGGGCGCAGAGGACGACACCATCAATAGATAGAGGCCAAAAACTTGGAGATGGAAGCTAATTCTTTGAGATTGAGTCATATCAATGTGTTGTTCTAGGCTGAAAATTAATGGCAATGAATGTGGTCATATTCATGTGGTGAAGCTGGATGAGTTTTGGAGCAATGATATGCAATCAGAATGGATTTTCAGGGTGTGTGATTAGCAACTACAAAATTGAGTAAATTCAAGATGACGGTTTAATTAATTTTCAGATTTGGAGAATGGGATGCGCATGAATGTGAAATGTCGGAGACTTTTACAGAATTTGGGGGGCTAAGACGGGAGGTAACGAGATTCGTTATTAAATGTATGCGGACGGCAATATCATGAATTTCCGTTGGTGGCTGTGCATAATAATGTGCTCGATTGATTGGAATTTGGCATGTTCAGGAATAGTTTTTTTATGATGCAAATGATCTCAATTGAGATCTTGCACAGTGCTACATCATTGGTGTTCATCAGTGGTGACTTTAAACACTACTTGGCGGCGTGGTTCATAGGAACGAGGCAAGGCCGTTTCCACATGTTCATAATATGAATTGGAATTGCTTCACAATTGCATTTTCCATTAGGAGATACATTGGATGTTTTAGGCGGGGCGATTGCATTTCATAACAAGGTTATGTATAAGGGTATTCTTCAAGAATAATTAGAATGTTTGGTGAGTGGAGTGCGGGTATTTGAGAAGGGTTGTGCGCCCATCCGGCCGCAGCACATGCCCTAGCCGTTGGACACAGATTCTGTGTCACAGAACCTGTTGAACTTGGGAGCTTGTGACAAAATCATTGACAGTTGAGCCAGGTTCCTGACCCGTGTTGCCAAATCTCAAGACCGTCTAGGTCGTTGTGCACCATACGCTCGATTTTGGGAACGCGACAAGGGGCGTGCTCTTGTGCGAAAGAGCAGGTCCTATACAGAATTCTGTGTGAAGAGCAGCGCTGCACCTCGAGTGCCAAGCGCGTGTTTGTGCTGCATGCCCCCGATCGTTCTGCACTTGCGTGAGCATGTGGATCTGGTGCGAGCCTCAAAGAACTTTGACGAATATCGTTGAGACGATTTGGTCGGGGTTGGTGATGGGAAAAGCCAAGCTCTTGGCAGTGGTGGCTGTGGAGAGTGTTGCGACCTGAGCGTCAACGTTGTCAGCGATTCGGTGACCATTTGATGAGCCAAGGAAGGCTGCGGTGAGGTGGTGCGACATAGGAACATGTGTTGCAGGCAAAATCATCATGGTCAAGCTCTGAGAAGCCCAGAAGTAAGACAGGAAGTCATCGAAAGGAGCCGTGAAAGTGTTGGAGGAGCTGAGCTGCATTGAAGGTGAGGCGGGATTAAGTGGCTGGAAACTCAAGCCAAAAGGCATCAAGTTGCTGTGAAGAGGAGTCATCGAGGATCAGGAGAAAAAGGAAGACTCCAAAAGAGCAAGAGTAGAAGAAGCATCTATAGCCCTGGAGGTAACTGTGTATCCAGCTGATATTTTAGTTTCTCTTGGTAATGCACACGAGTGAGCCAATCAAACAGGAGAGTGGTTTGGTGTGTTTTAGAGTGAGAAGGAATGGCATGAACTGTGGAAGGCGTTGAGCTATACCTTTTTGACTGCAATGTGTGTAGACACACTTTTGCTTGCATCTGGAACTTCTATTCAGTGTGTTCGTTTGGTGCAAAGAGTTGTTGCAGTCATGCATCAGAATTGGTGTCATTGATGCCAAGGGATAACCTCCCTTTGGCAGGGTTGGCAAGGGAGGTTGCTGCCTTGAAGGGGCGCCTCACCAATTTTTGGGAAGCTAAGCATGCACGAAGGGAACGTGCAGGAAGTGGGGAAGGTACTGGTGCATTGCCTGGGACTGATTTGCCTTTTGGCCCAATTTGTGGTACAATTCAGTACAAAGTGGCGTGCGCGCTTCTGGCTGGTATCTTTGTCTTCAAAGGAGAGAACCAATCCAGAGGCCAAAGCTAAGGGCACTTAGAAGTAAGAAACAAAGAGGACACGTGGCCGTGACTCAGCCGCTGCATAGTCAGCAGTCACACACAGTGGCCATACAACATCTGAGAATCATTTTTGCTACAAGGGTGGTGCTAATTAACAGCTTTGGGGTGCCATGCTGACAGAGTCACGATCGATCGCCTAATGGATCAAATGTTCTCAACACGGGAGAGGCCAGTGCAGGCTACAATGGCCAGTTTGCTGCAAGTGTTTATTGCAATTGCGTGAAAGTAAGGTGACACAACCCTTGCACCAGAAAGGCGTTGCCGCACATTAGCCACCACGCCAACTGTCGAGAGTGTGATCACATGAAAGCCAAGGGCCAAATTCAGTCCAATCACATTCTGGTGAGGTCGGATGGGATGAAGCGCTTTCGTATGCAGCACGTCAGCGTCGGCGTTGTTTCTGCGCTGTCGAAGATGGACACAACGCCGGAGGAGACGTGCAGGAAATATCAGTTGGATGGCGTGTTTCATCAGAAGTCGGTAAGTGCACAGGTGGCCCGATCACTGCAGTGTGCTAGCCAGTGCCATTCTCTGCTCTTGATTGCTTGCCTCTCCTGCCAAGAACAGCTGCCATGTGTGGCACAAACTCCTGAAAGGCATCCAAGCACGCACAAAAGAGGAGCAGCACAAACAACGATTAAATGGTGAATGTAGAAATAAAGGAAGCAAGTTCCAATACAACATTGAGCACTCCAGCCGCACAGTTGGTGTAGTGTTCAGCTGTGCATGCACCAGACGACTGGCAGCTAGTCCTCCAATCCTTGCCAATATCAGACACGACGTCGACGACATGCCACATGTGACAGCTACGTCTCTGCCATCGACAGGGCACAGATTGCAAAGAACTTGTGGCCCGTGGTGATCTGGGCGTGCCACCAGGCTCCATGCTTCCACTTCATGTTCTCATTTAGCAAACCCTATAAGGACTTCTGCACTGCACTGTACACTGCAGCCGCTTCACTACAGGGCCTCGGACGGTATGTTTTTGCACATCAGGCACTCGCGCACTGCAGCATTCTCATTCCCAAGGCGATGCCCATCCACACTGGCCAACTCCTCAGCAACAACACTCAGTCTGCCCGAATTCCCTTGGCTTGCCACTGTGGTCGCAGTCTCCAGCATCGCAGACATCCTATGCGTGTGTCCACCGAAGAAAGCCACACACACACACTGCTGTATGCCCTCTGTCAGCATTCTGCAACCAGCAGCTATGGCCCCGCCACCCCCGACCCCACCTCGTGGCACTGTGACGTGTGCGGACATCGGCATTTCCCACTGCCTGACATCAACCAATACCAGTAACACAGCTGCTTGAACAGATTTGTGGGCCCATCGATCTGGTCTCCAGAAGGCCGTGTCAGCTCATGCAACCATTAAACCCGATGTGGAAACTCGTCAGTCTAATCTATGGAAGTGCCATTCGTCTGTCGCAACAGTGTCAAGAAGTCTTTGACTCCCTCAACAACGTTCCTAGGCCCTGCAAACTCCACGCCTGGTATGTCTGCAATCGTTACATTGCTTGGCATCGTGTTCTTCATCATGCTCTCCATCGTTGTGTCCTTGCCCATAGCGCCCATCAATGCGTCTATGGACACTACAGGGCAGTCCTGGGGCGTGTCGCGGATGGCATTTATTGGGTACCCAAACTCTTTCAGGAAGGCCTTCTGCTGCTCTATGAACTTCTTCCCAGGGTTGGGTGTGCGCGAGTAGATCTGCACAAAGCTTGTGTCCACCGCCCCCTGGACAAGGGCGTAGTTTTCGTAGTCCGTTCTTATGACGTCGTACGGCTCTGGGGGTATGAAGGGAATGGCCGGGAACCTCAGCACACACTTTTCCTCAATCATCTCCTTCCTCTCAAGGTCCGTCTCAAACTCAGGCATCAGCTTGAGCTCAGCTGGAGGGGCACATGACACCTGACCCTGAATGCCAGAGACACGGCCTTTGGGGCTGCCATGAACACAGAATGTGTTCACCTCCAGAGCTATCTTTCCCTTTGACATCTTCCACACACACAAACACTGCAATGAGCTTCTGGCAGTGGAGATAGGCAGAGTGCGCATGGCATGGGACGTGGGCATAGTGCTTGCTAGTGCTGCAATTCCATGCGAGGTGAACAGCAAGGGCATTTTTATACATGCACTCTTGCCAATAAGGTACACTGTGATGCAGTGAAGAAATGGACATAAGGACTCTTGATGAGAGGGAAGTTACACTACAAGTCAGGCTATCTATCTCATATCATACATTTCAACAGAGAAACAGCATCTCAAAGCTTCATATTTCCTATTTCGTATTTCATATTTTCATGCTTTCGTATTTTCCATAAAGGAAACCTCTTGATCATCTGACACGCTCTGCAACGCCATCAGTTTGAATCGCCGCTTCGTGCTTCAGCTCTTTTCACCTACACTGAATGACATGTTGTCGTGCTGCACCTTGATTTGCACAGGAATAAAAGAGGTGCACATACACACGACCAACACTGACACGAATTCGCAGAGTGATTTGCCCCAAAATGGGCAGAATAAAATGGCAGGCAACAACCTGATGTGATCACAACATACATGCCCACTTCCTACAAGACTACGCTGCTACTATATTGCACAAGGGATTAGGGATCTCGGGAAGATGCCAGGAAGCGAAGACCTGGAAATGTGTTTGGGGTAGTAGGCCTCCCACCTCGCTGTCTGCAAATTCCCAGGGGCTCATAACTGACTAACATAAAAGGAGAAACTACCCGCCCAGCCTTGCAACAGCAGGAGTCCGTACCCTATGAACTAGACTCTTATGTACTATACTGATGAGGGGCCCCTGCTCTGGCAAATGCAAAAACTTCAAACAGCTGCCAACAACAGTCATGGTTTTGGTATCCACCGTTGGTGAGCCATGGGGACAACAGTGATACTTTGTGTGGCCTCAGACCAAATGTGCTTGCATGTCAGTGTGATCCAAACGCCATGCCTGCAGACTCTGTAATGTTTGCTTCATTAGAATTCAATCAGCAGCAAAGTGGCATATTTGCAGCTTTTTGAAGCTGGTCTGTGCCAATGGAAAATTTGGCAAGGAAGGCAGCAGCACAGGCAAGCCAAAAGGCAGTTGCACAGAATCCAGTTGGCCCAGTATTCCCCATGCTTGAAATAAATGCTGCAGCCACATTTTCATGACACAAGACGCATTCGCACTCCATGAATGTCATTCACCAACGTCCAATCTGGCTATGTCGATCCCATGCTCTCTGTTATCATGTAGCTGCCGTAGTTCCTCAGTTTTTGTCAATTTTCCAATTGGTCACATCGAGAAACAAGCCATCAAGCCATGTGCATTAGGAGTTGCCAGCTCATTTGCTGGTGGGGAATCCATAACGTTGAAATGCTCCAGCACCCAAACAGTTGTCTATTAAGCAACGACTTGGAGGCATTCCGGTAGCCCCGTTGCCATGCAAGGGGACGTAAGAAAACTGCAGGTTCGAAATTGCACTGGGTCTAAGTGTGCTGTCAATTCAATTCAGCTCTCTTAGGATCCTGTGTTTGATGCACGGCTCAAATGCACCAATGCTTTGGGTTTTTAACGTCAACCACGGAATCTTCCCAGGCGACTGGACACCACAAGAGGCGTCGCTGCGGTAGCGGTAGCGGTGACGTCAGACGTCAACCTGGACGCCGCCCGTCGCAATGACCCGAAGAATCGGAGGCTGGAAGCAGCTACACTTCACACTGGCGCGCGTGAGCCAGACAGCCAGCTCGGGCATCGACGAACTGAAAGTCGCGTGCCGCAAAAAGCGCGTCGCGCGTTCACATCAGGGTGGCCATCGAGCCTCGAGCGCCAAGCATACCACGAACCAACCTAAACATGTTCAATCGACAGATTCACGGGGTATCGGCAGTCGCGATCCACCCTCCGGAGCCACCTTTCCCATTCACCACCCCCCACGCCGGATTCCTCGCCCACCTGCTTTGGCGAGTAGATCCCCTGCGTGCAGTGGCAGTCCTGCTGGCCCTCCCCCGCGAAGCCCCTCTTCAGAGATGCCACCTCGTACCACCGCCCCGTGTACCGCATCGGGTCGAACAAGTCGCCGCTCGTGCTCATCTTGTTGAACTCCGTCGCGCCCGCCGGGCCCGCCAGCGACGCCAGGGCCACGACGACCGCCGCGGATGCTGCCAGGGCCCCCGCCCACGGCCCTTGGCCGCGGTCCCCTCCCGATTGATCGCCGCGAGGGGCCATCGATCGGCATGCCGAGTCTGGAACGCCGCGAGAGATGCGGCGGCAGGGGATGGGATTAGAAACAGGGATGCGCGAAAAGGGACGGGCCGGCCTGGGCGGCAATCGGGAGATCGGAGGGATGCGGAATGGCCCATGGGGCGCGGCGTGCGTCGGGCGCTGCATGGCGGGCGCGCACCGCGCCGGAGGTGGGGGAGAGGGGGGCCGGGGGGATTGGCGAGGAAGGAGTTGGGGGTGGTTGGGTTTCACCCGCACTTTGGGTGCGTGGGGGGGCCGCAGACGCCTTGGAGGTGCGTGGTGGCCTCGCCGCGGGCACTTTACGCCGGGCCGCATGTTGTATGGTGGGTGCCGCGCGTGACGCGGATGATGGGGCGGGGAACGGGGTCCGGGACCCGAGAATCGAGGCCGTCGGGCCTTAAAGAAACTGCTGTTGTTGGCGGGTCGGGAAAGGTTTTGCCGTTCTGGGAGGGCAGTTGCGACGCAGGGAAAAGTGTGCGACGGGAAAAGGGCGCACGCCTCGCGATCCAGGGTTGACGTGAGGCTCTTTCCCGTTCTCTGGGAAGTGGCACAGAAGTCACCATGTGCAACAGCAGGAGCATGGAACAACGTGTGCAAAGTAGGCTCTGCTCTCATGGGCAGAATTTTATCATTGGTGGGGCAAACAATTTGTGCAGAGGCCCACCCTTCTCGCATCTTTGCATCACCGGCTGGTTGCCGCCATGCCAGCATTTCCTCTGCCCATCAGGCTGATGATGTTGTTAGCAACAAGGTTTCAATAGTGGGCAATACCCCATTCACGCATTGGGAGTATGGGAACAGACACTGATTGAATAATACGCTCTCGCGCTGCGCACACGTCTGGCATCACCAGATTGGAGTTTGGGCTTTGCTTCGTCAGGTTTTGACCAATGCGAAACATCAGAATTCGTATTCTATGCACTGGAGGTAGTGCGACCAGGCTGCTGCTGTGTCCCTAGCAGAGTAACACAGTCAAAATAGTCATTAAATACACCAGCCAACTCCCGCCTGGGGTTCCTGGTATTTGAGGGCAGTTGTCCTCCTGTTGCAAAAGGAGATGCTAAAAAATGTACTACATCTGCTCCAAAAGTCTTGTCCGTTATCCAAATAACTCAAACTGTGGTCAAAACTTGCAAGTCAAAAAATTAGACCTAAATAATTTGGATGCGCCATATCGACAGCTATCCAAAGAGCACTGCAACGTGGAAAACGGCACTGCAGTTCCTGAGGTCTGTTAAGGGGAACACAGGCGCCACTGTTCCTCTTGTCAAGACCTAGAGCCGGGCATGGCCCGCTCGTATTGCCTTCGACGGAGGTGGATCAATCTGAGCTACCCCTAGGAGAGATGTATGACTTGGTGGCTGGGTATTCACAAAAAGATGCGGCTAGTTTCCGAACAGAATATGCAATCCACAGGTTGTCTTTTTTCCACAGAATTAGGGTGTTGACAAGTACTGTGCGAATGTTGAAGCCGAAGGCCAAGGGACACCTTGTTCTGGGCAGGAGCATCAACCTGGTAGACACCCACACGTCTGTAAAACCGTGCAAGGTCATGCTAACCAAAAAGATGGCGTAAATTGTTGCCAACATAGTCAATAATTGAAATCGAGAATTTTGAAAACACGATTTAGTACAATGGAAGGGATGGTCCACAAGGATTCTGGAAGCGATGATGTTGAAAATCTTGAGAGAGTGTAGCAATGCTCGTTTGCTGTCTACAACAAGCTTCTTGAGGAATTGTTGGACAGTAGGTTGGAACACAACGGGATAAGGTGAGCACAAAATGTGAGGAAATGAAGCTCTGACACAAGCGGACAGAAGCTCTTTTGATAAGGTTGTATATCTCTTGCTGTATTGTGGTGACTATTGTACATCCAGAAATTGGGATGGAGTTACAGCAACGTTGACGGGCCTTGATGGTAATGTGACCTTGCGTCAATCATATTCAGCGTTGATGCAGGGCTTACGCATCAGCGTGCCAGCAACGCTCTCTTTCGTCAATGCTGCTGGAACACCTCCCTGGCAATGTTACAACAACGGTGAGGTTGCCAACAACGTTGCTGTGAGACCTCCCACATCCAAGTTGCGTCAACATGCAGACGATCAGTTGTTATCAATGTTTCTGGAACCCTGAGTTGCCAGCAACGTTGACACGATGCGTGTTTCTGAAAGGCGCAACAACGTTGATGGAAAGCCCCACTCTTTCTACTCTGCTGAAAGATCTCCCGCTCTTGGTGCTGGCCCAAAGGCTCGAGTGTTCGCTTCACGGACACAGTGGCGAGGACTGCTGGGTGAGATACGAATTAGGTTGTAGCTGTTCGATTTTCGGCCTCGGCTGTTGTGCGGTGGCTTTTGCCATTTTGTTGCCCCGTTTCCAGGAGAACGGGCCTCCGGGACGTCCGCCCCAACACACACGGCATGCGTGCATGGCGGGGCAGGAGGTGCGTGGGGATGCTGGGCGTGCGGGTGGGCTGGGAATGGCTGAGGGCAGCGCAGAGTGCAGCGGCACACTCGGCATTTTTGCAATTCACAAGTTGATGGGCTTGCCCAAACGGGGAGTGGGTGGGCTGGGCCAGATGGGGAGCCGGCGAGGATTGCCCCCCCTAGGCGATCTCCAGTGCAGGCGGGCATGGACCGTGGGGTTGCGCCATGGCAAGCCACAGCCATTGGCGCGCAGTGTGGGCCTGTGCGCAACGCATTTGAATGGGCGGCTGCCGATGCCAATGGAGACGCTGGGGCTCCCCTTGTAAGTCAGTGAAGAGGTGTGCTAGAGGCGGGAAGGATCCTCGGCTGCTCCAGGCAGCCCGTGCTGCCTTCGTTCTTGGGCTGGCACAGCACGTGGGCTCGCAGGGGCCCACGGCTTGGGCTTTTTTCGGACTGGAGGTGGCGGCCGTACATCGGTGCGGTGCGCGATCGGGGGGGGGGCTGACGTCAGTTTTCATGGAGATTGTGCTGGGTGCCCTCCTGGCGTGGATTCAAAGATTTCGAGCCCTGACGCCGCTCCGCCACCAGCTGCTCTCCGCCCCTCCCCCGTGTAGGCAATGTTTTCGCCTCGAAAGGCGGCGACCCCACAGTGCTGGCGGCGGTGGCGGCGGCGGCGGCGGCGGCGGCGATGTGCTCTGAGAATGTGCGCGGCATGGGCGATGGCACCGGGGTTACCGCGAGGTGAGGAAACCAGATGTGACTTGTGGTTGTGAGTGGCGGCGGCGGCCCCCCCGTCCTCAACAACAGGAGCATGCGTCCTGGACCGTGCGCGGCGCCTATCGTGGGAGTGGGCATGGTGCTGTCGCGTGCTGATCCCGCTGAGCTCTACGTTGTTTGGAATTTGAGAGGCTGGACGCGAGCACCGCCGCCCCCGCCCCCGCTGCCGCTCTTGCCGCCGCCGCCGCCGCTGCCACCACCGCTGCCGCCGCTGCCACCAAATGTGTCACTGCCCCTTTTAAGTGTCCAAGTGTGCTTAAGGGTTGAAATATGTCGATACAGATCAGCACAATTGGAACCTTGCTAGCAACAAGCGCATGGCAGGCAATGAGGCACATTTGCTGACATTGCGAACCCACCAAGTCTTTGACGACTGTTTAAGGGGTAGTACCGCTGGAGTATCCATAAAAGCAAGAAGGGAAATGCTGTAATATGTGAACACATCTTGGTGTGTGCACTTGTGTGGACTGCACTCATGCTGACAGGTGCACCGGTGTTGGCGATTGCAGATGGATGTTGACTTGATGGGAACATTGTGCACTAATACTTGCACCAATGGAAGGGGGTGGCCTGGGTGCTTGTAAATCGCCCATCGCACAGGAGGCCAGGAGGAATCTATTTGGATTCCTATGGTACCTATGGTGACAATCAGGTATTCCTCTGCTGGGTCGATCCAAGGCTGCAAATCTCATAGCTTCACTGTTGAGACTGCTGCGCGGAACCTGTTTCTTGGCAAGAGAAAGCTTACCCTGCGGAATGCTTGTTGTAACCTGTGATGGGCTGTTGCTGAGTGGCAACTTGTGCATTATGGTCCATCAGCTGCAAACCAGCTCGTCTGCGAACTGCGCATGAGCAACATGCCATGCTCTCTGCCCCTGCCCCCCTTCTGTCCGCCGTGTTGACCTTCAGGATGAAGAATTCGAAATGTTTGTTGACAACAGGTGCATGCATTTGTGCCCTGCAGTTTTGGTATATGTTGCTATGCCTAGCAGCCCTTGAAGCATGGCTGCGGCTTCCCATCGATGACAGCACATATGGCAAGGATATTATGCTTAAGGCCAATGACTGGCATGCGTCCCTTGTGCCTATCTACATGGGAGCTAAGTATCGGCCAGGGGGAGTGTTGCGGCCCCGTCGGCAGCCGCTGGTTTCCGGAGGCGTTGGGGTCGCCCTGCCCTGCAGCTCGGCTGTTGGAGGTCAGCCGGCCCTCTCCACCTTGGACGATGGGCGTATCCGGGGCAGTCGCTCCTGTGGTCGCGCGGTGGGCCCAATGCTCGACGGGGATCGATCCCCGGGGCCTGCTGTCGGCGAGAGGTGGTGGCGCAGCGAGGCGGTGGTTCGCTGGCTCGCGGGAGGCCAGAGAGTGGGCCAAAAGTGTTACAACGATTCACTGCATGCGCGCGCACATATCGCATGCGCGATGCCCAATCGCGGGTCCATCGCGGTCACATCATGACAAGACAAGACAAGTGCGCGTCCAGGCACATTGTCACCGTCCACCATTCACCTAAATCAGCTCCACATAATCCCCGATGCTTCCATCTACCGGTCCGAATCCCATGCTAAAGTATTGCAACTTCAACTGGCCATAACTTCGCCGTTTCTACACGGAATTGGACGTTTCAAGTCGCTATTGGCATCAGGAGCTCCTGAATAAGCTGATTTTGCCGTATTTGCACTTTTTTGACCAACCGCCGCTTCAGAAATATCAATTTTAGCCTAACCCCAAGCAGCCACGTCACAGGGAGTCTACCTGGTTGCCAGGAGCATCTTGGCGATCCACAACTGGAGGCACCAGGTATCTGCATTAGCATTGTCACACATCATCATCATCGTGGGACCAAGATTGTGATGTTTGCTATTTGGCTGTCATAGACATATACAGTAATCCTGCAGTACCTGTCACTCCTGTTGCTGCAGGTTGTGGCTGAGCCCCTGGAGACATGTGACAACAGTTTGCATCATGAATCTGCCTTTTATGGATTGGCCAATGCCTTGAGGGGACCTGCCTTCTGGCAGCTGGCTAATGCAGGACTTATTTGCCTCTGAGCTATGGCAGGGGCCTAATGGAGACGATCGGTGGTCTTAGAAAAGCTACCTTTGCTTGACCAGTGTGCAAAAATGCAACATGCAAGGCTGCAACTGCATCTACTGTGCTGCTCATGTTCGGTCCCACTGCTGTGTGTGTCGTTTTGTGGGATCCGGTTTGCGAGCTCACCTACTCCATTTCTGTCAGAACAGTGTGGTTGCTTGGATGTTGCTAAGAGAAGAATTGGAGGTTGAGGAGACTAATGGTCGTGTGTTGCGGCAGAGGGTCAGGTCAGCTGGACATCTGCAAGGATTGATGTTTTGCGCACACCAGCCCATGCCATTGATGCCAACGAGGGGATCGCCGGGTGCAGACTTTGATATCAGTTTACTCTGACAATGGCTGCATGCTTTCTTGGCGACATTGCATCTTGGTTCGGCAGGAAGCAGTTTGTTAGTGCAGCGGGTTTGTTCTTCGTTGCATGATGGTTCAACTGCAAAGCAGTTTGCTAGTATTGTGGGTTTGTTAGCATAGCGGTGCATGACCTGTGACGTTCATAAACACATGAATGTAGGGCTCTAGTGGGGGTGTGTTCAGGAAATGTATGTGGTTTGGGCATGTGGTATGGACATTGCATGTAACGATCAACCTTGCAACAAGCCGTGTCAGAGCAGCATTGCTGCAAGCTGCCATACAGCAGCGTTGCATCGACCCAGTGTGGGCCAATGTTGCAGCAACATGCATCACAGCAACGTTGCAGCAACACGCATCACAGCAACGTTGCAGCAACACGCATCACAGCAACGTTGCAGCAACACGCATCACAGCAACGTTGCAGCAACACGCATCACAGCAACGTTGCAGCAACACCCATCACAACAACGTTGCAGCAAAACATTAGCAATAGTGCTTGACAGCAACGTTGCAGCAATGGTGGCGTTGCCGCATCGTTGATATGCACGTCTTGCATCAACGTCGCCCAATAGGAACCCGTGTCACTGTCTCCCAGCGGCACCATTACCATCAAGGCCCATCAACGTTGCTGCAACACCATCCCAATTTCCAGATGTAACTAAGAACCACATTAAACCCAAATCGACAAAGGAATACGAATCTGGCGACAGACTGCTAATTGAGTTGATCTTGCAAAGCCATAGCAAGATTGGATAACGGACACGACTTCCGGAACGGAGATTGTTGGTGTGTGTGGCTCACACACACTTGTGCACACACGTACTGCACCAGTCACTTTTCCATCCAATCCCTTGTATGCCAGACTGCGGCCAGTTCTGCCAGGTCGTGGTGTGTGGACGGAAGCCACCGCCTTCCCAGCCCACAAGAATAATTATCCAATCACACGTCCAACAACATGGCGCAGTGTTGAAGGCAATGTGCAAAGCTGGCTGCTGTTCATCACTTCTGACAAACAGCGCTGCCAACAATCCTCTGCCTCCCATTCTCATCTGGCCTTTGTTGACCCTGTGCAAAGTCTCCAAGAACAGTGCACAATGTGTTCCATCACCCCTTCTGCACAGCCAATCAGATTGAAGAACCAACAGCATGCTCCAAGATGCACCACAGCACATGGTGCCGTATCCAGATTTGACATGCAGATACCAGTGAATCGGCACCAAGGTAGCTCTATCTTTCCTTCCAGTCGTCGGGGCGAACGGCCGGTAGGTAGCGCCGCTTTCGGGGGAGAGTCGGGCGGTGGCGCGAGCGTGCGAAGGCTGAGCTGTGGCAGCGATGCTGCGAGGGAGGGGAGCAATGCACGGGCGACGTGAAGGTCGACACTGCATCCGACGCCGCACCGCGCCAGGTGAGGAGATCTCGTCCGAGAGGGAAGGAGGGGGGGTGGGGTGGGGTGGGGTGGGGTGGGGTTGAGGGCACCAATTCGGGGCGTCCAGGAGAGGTGGCACTCACGGCAATTCGGTCGTGAGAGCGCTGAAGCCCTTGGAGATGGCAAGCACCTTGATGAGCAGCGGCGAGGCCCAGCATGGCGGCCGTGTCCAGCGACGGCGTCGTCGTCGCGATCTCCACGATCGCCCCAAAAGAATGGGAAGAAAAAGTAAGCTACAGAAGAAGATCTGCAGCAGGCGCCAGGCCTGAACTGTGACGCCCTGCGGGGATGCCACGCACCACAACGCCGCCCCCAGTCCCACACGGATCGCCAGCGTCGGTAGATCGGTGCTCAACTGGATGGGACGGTGTCCTCACGCGGGGATGGGACCTGATTCGATGGGTCAACGCGAGCCGTCGGCCAAAGCGGCAGCTCTGGACGGCCGATCGGCGCCCTGGATCCCAGAGGTGGCGACTAAGTCCCGGATTGTTTGATTTTCGTGCCAACGCCGCCATTGCTCGGTGGATGGTTGGCGAAGACTGCATTGAGAGACGGGGCCCTGGGAACCCCCTGGAGGGCGCCCGGGAAGCGGGTGCGCAGGGGCTGGAGTCTGCAGACGCGCCCTATCCCGGCGGAGTGGCTGGACGGTTCGAGTGCAGCGCCGCACGGCCTGTGCACTGCCCGCGCATCCTGTGCTCCGTCTGCGCACAGCGCACAGCGCACAGCCAAGTGGCCTCAAGGCACGGCATGAAGTCACGCTGAGTCAACAAGATTGTGTTCTTCCCAGAAAAATGCCCAGAAACACAGTTTTTCAACCGTTTGCGTCCTCCCAAACCCGTTTTGCCGCCTGGCCGCAAGGGCGCCAAGGCCACCGGCTACAGCCGGGCGCGGTTGCCTGAACTCCTGTCGCGCGCGACGAGCCTCCGACGCGCCCGACCTTCCCCGCGTGCAGGCCGCGAGCCCCCCCTACCGGCCACACCGGCGCGCACCCGCAATGGTCGGCGCCGCGAGCATCGAGACGCCGCTGCTGAAGGTACGCCCGTTCCCCTTTCCCCGACGACCATCTGTCGCCGTTTTCCGCCATCCAATCTCTGGTCGAATCTCATCGACTCGCGTGGCCGCCTCTGATCGCACGCCACCCCGCGCGCAGGTGCCGTACGAGTCGCTTAAGCGCGCGGCCAAGGACCGCAAGACCGTCGTGGACGACGCCAGCCGCGTGCTGTCGGACCTGGCCAGCGAGGGCGGCGCGGACCTGCGGGCGATGTCCGGGGAGCAGCGCGTGCAGGCGCTGGACAAGCTCGTCGTGCGGCTCCAGGGCATCAAGCGCAAGGTGTGGCGCACGGCGTGCGGGGCCCCCGGACTCGATGATCGGCGCGGTCGGCGGGGATCAGGGCCGCGAGGTGGAAACCGGGGGCGCCGCTACGGACCATGGGGCGCTCGGAGCGATTGCCGATCGCCAAAATCCCGTAATCGCGCGTCGATCGGAGTCGAAGTTGGATTAGGGGATGGCCATGTGATTCGCTGATGGGTGGCAGGGTTGGGATTTGTTACAGAGAGAAAGAGAAACGGGTCATACGAAGGGCAGCCGTTCCTAGGCAAGTGTGTGTGAGACTCTTTTCCGTGCTGCGAAAAGGTGACGTGGACTCTTCGGTGCGCAAAATGAGTGTGCAACAAAAGCAGCCCAAAAGGCAAGAAAAGGTGCACCCAGGGGTGGGAGGGGAGATGAGGCCGCAGCCAGCGCGGTTTTTTGTCTGCGGTGGCGTTGCTCCGAGCTTGCGGCGCGCGTTGGCGAATGGAGTTCTGTCATTGGAGCCCGTCGCGCTGATGGCGGACTCCTGTTGCGAGATGTGTGAGCTCACCACCTGTCTTTGTTGCTCCCGAACAGCTGGACGAAATATCCAGGACGGAGCAGGAATGTGCGCACAAGTAGGTGGCCGTACCTCCAAACAGATGGGGGCAATGACTGTCAGTCAGATGGGAGTGATCTGCCAAAATCTGCGTCGAAGGGACAGGCAAGCGTGGATTGCGAACAGCTCAACCCAAGCTGGGACCTTTCTGAAGACAGCATATGTTCATGGCCACCATCCTGGACACACTCCTAAACACCAACTGGTTCAAGTGGCTGGTCGACTGCCCAGCTGAACAGCTGCAGCCAAGAGGAGCAGACAAGCCAGCGTGAACACCAGCCGAAAATTCATTGTGGCAGTTCCCCAGACCCAGATAACACATGCGCATGAACCCCTTTGTTTGAATTTGGTTAAGGGATACAACATGACTGTGCAGCTTGTTGACAATTGCTGGCATTACACATCCAGAATATCCATGTGTGCATTCAATTTACACATCCATGACACGTGGTCAAGAACCGTGTGTGTTCTGCTGACCGTTGCTACAAGTGTGTGTGGTTCGTTTATCGCCTCTGTGTTGTTGAAAGTCGATGCATCTGCACAAGAAAATCGGGCAAATGATAAAATGGGTGTGTGGTCTGCAGATGCCATGTGCGGCTGCGCCACCTGGTTGAACTGGGGGAGCCAGAAGAGGACCAAGTTGTGGCATGGAACATGGAGCGCTTTGATTGCATCCTGGTGGACCATATGCTTCGTACGGGCTGCCACAACTCAGCATTTTGTTTAGCGAAAAGTTCCAACATTGAGGTACAGATTTTCAGGAAGCAACTGTTGGACCCATTGCGTTTTGAAGTTCACACCAGACATCATTGCCTATCATGACAAATCCATGTCGCACCTGTGTGTATGGTTCTTTGTTTCCTGTGTTTTTTGGCTTGCTTGGAATTCAAATGGCTTGTAAGATGTGGAGTTTGCAAAGAGCAGCGGCCACTGCACAGGCTTGGCAGTGTTGCTGTTCACCCACTGCAATCCAGCACTTTGCCTGCCCAGCCTCTGCTCCACAGCCTTGCCCATCTAATCTCTAACTGAGGTGAAAGAACTTGCGGTGGCAACCAAAAAATGTCAAAGAGCGCAAATTCGACCACTGTTTGTTGCCCATGCCTGAGCACAAACAACGAGTGGGCAGTATGCTAGTCTTCTTCACGTGCAGCATCGTTCCTGCAGGACCTGGTAGACAGCAACGTCTTTCTCAGCGCTCGGAGGGTAGTGGAGGGTTTAAAACGTCACGACTGTGCAGAGGCGCTGGCCTGGTGTGCCGCAAACCAGGCGAAGCTCAGGAGGAACAAGTCAAAATTGGAGTTCAAGCTCCACGTGCAGGTTTTCATTGAGTATGTCAGGCAGGAGCGGATGCTCGATGCCATTGCCTATGCCAGGAAGCACCTATCCCAGTGGGCGTCGCTGTACATGGAGGAGCTGCAGCGGGCTATCGCCGCATTGGCATTCAGGTGGAACCTTTGCTGCTGTCATCATCGAATGGTGAACAGTGGATGATTTCCTTTCCCACAATGCTAAATGGGTGATTTCCTTTTCCAGAATGCTTGCTTGCTTCGCTCACAAAGACACAAAGTGCACAATACTGTACTGTGTTGTGACCTTGTGCTCTTGCCACCTGTGCAGTGGCTCTGCGAATGCTTGTTCCCATCCTGGTGAAATTCTGCTTTAGTTCCACTTCATTGGAAGTTGAAAGCAAACCGTCCAATAAGCCAAAATGGCATTTGGTCGCCCAGGCAGAACCGTAACCTCTTGCAAAATGCAACAGCAGACTGCTTGAAGATTCTGCAGCTCATTGATTGTTCTGCAATTTCGTTGCACATAACAGACAAATGTCTGGCGCCAAATTGGGCGATGACTTTTGCACCGTGATGAGTTTGCTTAACACGTGAAGCAATGACTCCACGGCAAACGTGGACCTGGATCAAATCCACCCCCGCCCAGGTCTTCCTCTGTGGAAACGCTCCAGTGCCTGAGATGCAGGCATTGTCCCTATTCCTCAACAGCTAGGCAGTGAAACTTGAGAGCTGTTTGGAGCGACGACAGCCCTCCCATCTCTAAGTAGATCCACCCTTTTTGCACTGCTGCAGGGGCACAACCACCTGTCCACGGTATTTGGAGCTGTTTGATGACTCGCAGTGGGACCAGGTCATCAACTTGTTCCACGCTGACCTGTTCAAGCTCAACTGCCTGACGCCAGAGTCCCTGCTTACCATCCACTTGCAAGCAGGTGGGCCGGGCAGCTTCACTGGGGTCACTACACATAACAACCCGCAAGCATGTGGGCAAAATCTGACTCTGAGTTGGCTATCGTGTGTTGGCAGGCTTGTGTGCCCTCAAGACTCCACAGAGCTACGAGCAAGGCTGTAGTGGAGAAGACCCGCTCTGTCTGCCGGTTTTCCAGAAACTTGCTGAGGGGCTGCCATACGCGAAGTATGACAGGTCCAGACTTGTGTGCAGCGTGACCAGGGAGGTCATGAACGAGCAAAACCCTCCAAATGTGCTGCCAAACGGCTATGTATACAGCCAAGCTGCAATTGATGGGCTGAAGGACATCAGCGGAAAGGTTACCTGCCCAAAGACAGGTACTTGTGAACTCCCTTTCGTGTTGTTTGTGCACGTTGGTGCATTCATGCCGCAGACGTTGTTCTGCTGCCATTGTCTGCAAGGAAATGCTGCAGTTTGCTCTCTTTGACCGTGCGCTAGTGCCACAAACAGCAGCTGTGCTCGCGGATCGAACTTTTGATATGCCTGTGCGACTGCATCGTATGCTTGTCGCCCTGCCTTGACGGTCACCGTTGTGGACGTGCAAGAAACTCCTGCCGGTGGAACCCCACCATCACAGAACGCAGCAAAGCCCCGCAGTGAATGTCTGGTCGCATGGGGTGACCTTTTGGGTGCATACCTTCTTTTTGTTCGAATGACAGTCTGCAACGGTGTGTTGGAAAGGAACTTGCGGGATGGTTGTCCGCCAAGGTTGCCTTTGGACTGGCCTCAAGCGCAGCAAGACGTTTCTGTTCCCACCTTGCTGTGTCTGTGCACACCTGTCGCTTCAAATGCGCGCTTCAATGTGTTGACGTGAGCATGATGTGCCAGGTGATGTGTGCGACGAGTCAGACGTGCGTCGGGTATTTGTGCTGTGAACGATGTGGCTGTGCGGTGAGGGCTGATGGAGAGCTGGTCGTAGCAGAGTGGTCATTACGTGGTGGGGAACGGAAGTTGGAGGAACTGAGAGAGCGCGAGCGAAATTTGGCGGATCATACGAAACCTGAATTTGATCCATTCTTTGTCAAGTCGGGCGGAGCGACTGTGCCGGAGTGAGGGCTTGAGTCTGACGCCATGGTGTGTAGCAATATTGTTACATCATGTATTACATCAATAATGTTGCTGAGCAATGAACCACATGGAAGCTGATTGGTGGGGGCAACCGTGCAGCTTCGGCTGCGAGCGAATGGTGTTTGCTGTTCAGCTGTACAGTCTCTTAGCGTGTTCAGATGTGTCATTAAGACGGGAGCATGGCAACGAAGGTTTAGGGCAGTTGGGGTGGCAGTGAGGCTTTGCCTGGTCAATGGCCTGTTGCGGGGGATCACGTGTGTGAAGGAGAGTTGTAAAAGTCGGCGCAGAGAGTCGCAGTGCAACGCGTTGCACGGTACAAGTGGCAATTCAGTGGATTGGCAGCAAATATGGCCTTGCAGATCTTGAAATTGTGACTGCAGAAAGGGGCGATGCGGGGCTGTGTTCCAACTTCAATGGTCGACATCGGCTTGGGCACCGCAACTCAATAGTGCAAGGCAAATCAACTGCCTGCCTTATTCGAGCTGAGCTCGGTGATTGTCGCCAAAACCCATGAGGCTTTGGTGTAGGCACCGAGCACAGAAAGAGTAAGCTGCCGGCTAGGCGGCTGAAAGCAAAATTCAGTGCAGGTTGATCGCTCTTTGAGGGTGGTTCAATGGGTACTGCGGCGGCAGTGATTGCCTGATGGTTAGGATCGGGTGCATGTGCCTTCTGATGAACTCCGCAGACCTTTGCCGTGTAACGATGCCACTATGCTTGCACCCGCCATGTAAAAACCGCCTCAAGGCATCGCAGCCTTGCACACGCATTTTTAATGCGCCCTCGAGTAGAGACGATTGCAATAGACCCTCATTGGTGCAGAACAAACGCCCCGGATGCTTCCTCCAGCAATGTGGAAGAGTAACTGAGCGATTGGCCAACTGGTACTCGGTGTACCTATCCTGCCCGCACTTAAACATCGACCGAACACGGCGGTCTGCGCACATTCATGCTTGATCCTGATCCGGATGAGCAAGGACACCGTTCTGGAGATCCATATTCGGCTCGCACCCGCATCAACTGGCGATTTCCGAGATTCAGGACGATTGCCATGCACGTTCTTCACTCTAGATTCGTTAGCGCAACTTCCTCGGCAGCTTTTTTCAACGTCAGAGCTACCTCAACAGGGTCGCTTTCCCATTCTGGACGTTTTCCTCATGCTTCTCCCCAAATTCCAGATCCTTTCAGCACTCAAAGCCACCTCCAGCTTCTTCCTGAAATCGGGGCCTCTCAATTTCTCCGGGACCCAATCGCATCTGACTGCGAATGGCATCTGGACCCCTTGCTTTGCAACACCTCTCTCCCCCCTTTGGGTGTCCGGTGCCACGTGCAAGAGCATTGCATTAAACAATTACATAATTGTGCTCAAGGTTCCCAATTAAAATTGACCCTCCAGGCCTCGTGGAATGCATATTATTTTGACACCTCACGACCCATACGAAAGGCCACATTGAATGCTTCAATGGTATTCAATGATTCTTTTTCAAGAGCCTTGACGCACGTACTCCAGACCACTACGTTGCACCTTGCACCTTGCATTGCAGCCCAATGAAAAATGAAGGGCCATGTACCGTTCAACGGCTCCGATGCAGTTCCAAGGCCCTTAGTTCAAGGTCTATTGGCATCTTCATGGTATGAACAGTCCGCTACTGACGCCGCTAATGTACCCCTCCTGTCCCTCGTGTGTCCTGGGAGATCAAAGACATTCACGTCCATGGTCATCATACACAACGCCCACCATTCTCCGTTTTTGGCAGCTGCCACCTCACACCGCGCATCACTCAGAACCACGCCGGGGCTTCGTACTTTGGCGAAATGGATAGAATCGTGTCTCCAAAGCGCCCAAGGTTACCATCATAACGCCCATTGCTGCCTCGACATCGTTCCATGCCCCTTTTGCCATTACCGCATCCAGTCCGCTGCCAAGAATGCTCGGCAAAAGATTGCTTGGATCGTATCTTCATCGCCAATATGTTCGCCGCGCGACGCAGATTCACTGCCTAGCGCAGCTGCAAACTCTTCCAGAATGTCGGAGTTGTCGTATTCTGAATATTCGTAGGGCAAGGTTTTGTATTTTCAATGAACGTATTACAAACACTGCTTTTCTTGAATACAAAGGGATTCGAAAGTCATCTTGCCGCCTCAACATGCAACAGTTTGAATGAAGTGGAAAACATTGAGTGTCATTGCGACATTTGCCGAATAATTGGAGATAACTATCAAGTTCAAACAGTTCTCAATTCATTTGTCATCCAACTGAACAGTTCGAGTTGGATTGCGCACGTCTAGCATGCTGGCATGTCTGGTCTCCCTCCCAACAGGCACCCAGAGACCAGGAAGGCGCGCCCCTGCTGTTCCCACTCTTGAATGGCCCCAGCAGCGTGCCCGTTTGGACTGCAGCTGGCCCCACCCCCGCTCCCGTCCACAACACCCTAACAGGTCGCACCTCCGGAATTGATCCTGAAGACGAGGCAGCCGAAGACCGCGCGTTGACCGCGCACAACGCGGCATGGCCAGCGCCGCTGCGAGGGTAGGAACTAGGCTCAAACACAAGATTTCTTCAGCGGACTCTCAAAACGTTTGCCAGTCCCAGGTCCTTTGCTCCGTGGAGAGTGGCTGTTGGAAATTCTGAATCTGGGAAAAATGGGTCCCATTTGTGCATCACTTAGAGGCGCAATGCACTGCCGCCATTTCCAGGAGCGGTTCGCCCGCAAGAATGAGGCCGCCGACCTGAGGCGCGCGTTCCAGACGCTCGACAAGAAGGGGGACCACAAAATCGACATTGACGAGTTGAACCAGGTGTTCATGGCCTTGGGACACAAGACCAAAAGGGTGAGGCCTGAGGGAAGCATGCGACGCGGTGCGAGAAAATCGCGCCCTTTGCGGAAGCCCAAATGTCCTGCAATATACATTACCACGGAATTTTATATAGTAGGGCAAAGTTGTAGCCGTCAGTTTTGTGTTTTGCCTAAACAAAGCCGCGCTCAGCTCATGATCTGTGCACTGAAGCAAACGCGAGAAGGAAATTTCCACTGGTATGGATAGATGGCACTACTGATGCGGCAAGAGAGTAATTTTCGCCTTTCAGTCGGTATGCCACGATCAGCGGTGCGGTCTTTTGCTAGCAGAGGAGTTGGCAGCGCGCCAGGAAGCCGTATTGGGAGGAGAGCCCGAAAATCGATGCGCCAGCTTGGCGATTCCCAAAGCAATAGAATGAGTAAATTGCAGTTCAATTGCGATATTGAACAGCATACACGCTAGCGCCACAGCACTTGATCGACTCTCCGTCGCCAATTTCCAAGGGTGCTTAATTGTGTGCAATCTTTTGTTGCTCTCTGTTGGCTCAAGGTTGTCTTCTAGTCTTTTATTGTCAGTATTCTTATTCATTGCTTGTTGCTACTAATTTTCGTTCCTGGGGAGACTGACATCAGGCTGACGACTTGGCGCTGCAGGGAGAAGTTGAGGACATGATCTGGGAGGTGGACGAGGACTGCGATGGGGCGGTGAGCTGGTCGGAGTTCCAGGCGATGTACCACAGATGTCGGAACGACAGAACTGGTGTGTGTCGCTACGGGGGCCCCCATGCGATGCCCACTGGGCGGGTGGGTAATAGCACTGGCTTGCTGCCCCTTTGGATTCCACATTATGCACACACCCAGGATGTGATTTGAATGCAGAATCGGATCCCCGATGGTCCATGTCTTCAGTTGGCTTGAGCTGCATTGTGAGCTCCAATGGCAGAAACGATGGAGTGATCTCAAGGCGATGCGCGTGAACGAAAGTGGGCACAAACTTGTTGTCTGTTGGGATGCAATCAGCGCCTCTTTCGAATTTGGATGGGCAGGAGGTTTCTTTACCGTGGACAGGGCTTGCGGGACTCCCCATTGAGCCGAATTTTTCATTGCGTTCCCTGCAGTAGTCTTGGTCCCCGTGTTCAGGAATCCTGTACTTGGCCACGCAAAAGTGAACGCAATCATTGCTATGCGACTTGTAGCACCGACACCGGTCGCCGCAAGTGCGATGCTACAACACATCTAATGCACACAGGGACCCATTGTTACCGAGGCAGCGCTGAGGTGCTGCGAATTTTTACATGTCAAAGGCGTGATTGCGTATAGTGCATGTGTCAGCAGAAAGCACAAGTGCAAAAAATTGCTGTTGGAAGAACGCAACAAAATACATAACCGAAAAGTACAAATTGTTCTCCATGACTTGCGGCAAGCCGTGCATGCGTGCGGTGCCAAAAGTGACCAAATCGTGCCGTCACAACCATGCATTTTACTAGCATAGTATTTATAATTTCACATAATTTCATTTCTTGTATACGTTCAGGTAGACCTCCACCCCCTTCATATTGCCGAAAATCACCCATTGCAGCTCAGTGCGTGTTTATAATCCGAACTGAATCGCACAATTTCGACCGCCTTTTCTGGCGCCTGTGTTCGCCAGTGTTTCTGGTGCTGGGCGCCGCTGGCGTTTCTTTCCCACCATCTATTCGCTAGAAACGCTTTTTGGGACGCGGGGATCCAAACATCGGGAGAAGTGCCGTAACCGTAGAAGTGTTTTAACACTTCGTCGCTTTAGCGCTTTATTACTTTCCCACGCTTTTGCTGTGTTAGTACATCACTTCCTTGCCGCTGTGTTACTTCCATGCTCCACTTCTGAATGGGTGTTTGGAGTCCCTGGCGCCAGCCCCACCAGTGCACCTGCCCAGCGGCAACCGCGACAGGATGTGGGCTCACGAGCGCGTGCTGCCGCCGCTGTGTGTCCAGGATACGAGCCGCGGCGGCTCTTCAACGTCGTGGAGTTC